ATCAGAGGTGAAATGGCTTGCACAGGGCACAGACAGTAGAATTGACTTCTTGACTAGGGAAAAAGACCATTGACAAGAGCTTTGAGAACCGGGAGAGTAGTAGAAATGATAGTAATGGGTGTTGTGAAGTAGATGATAAGTGCAGCCCAGCATGTGTTTCCCGTAGCATTGAGGCCATCCAGTGAAGTACGAAACAAAGTTTGTGTGTTGCTTGTCCTGTCCCAGCAAGAGAATGGTGATGCTATGGGTATTGTCATACTGGCAGGTTAATACAAAGTAAACGTCAAAGTGATCATGGAGCTGGGCTGTGGTATGTTAGCTATCGTAGAAAGGCAAGCTGCATATTGTGTCCCGAAGAGCTTAGTGGTGGTAGCCAAACTGTGCATATTTGTGGCTGATTTAAGTTAATTTAATTCCTTACTACCAATCACTACTAGCAATCCTATCATCCTACGCACACCTTCTTGCTGGTACTAGTGCTTGTGCATTCACACAACCACCTCGTCTACATTAACAGATAATTTTGTATTGGCTTAGGTTTCAGCTTCATTCCCACGAGATGCAGCTCATTGTGCAAGAGCTAGTGCAAGGGGAGGGGACAGAAATGTACAGCCGAAAGGGAAATACTTAACCTTTCAATAGCAGGGTAAACCTGTCGTGAAACTACATCTTAGTAATTCAGTGGGTGTTCTAAACTAGTAAAAGCTAACACTGGTACCGAAAGAGTAAATGCAGCTGTCTTCCTGATCTTCTGTTCCGAAATCACCCTTGCTCATGCTGTTGGTCTTGCAGTGAACTGGCATGGCTGAAGAAACCCTTTATTTCCAGACCGGTTGTCAGCTGGATCAGTTCCCTGCCCAATTTCCTAAATAGCTGCAGAAAATGTTATGTAGGCATGAAAATAGGGACTGGGAGCTAAGCAATAGGCAAGTGCAGAGGCAGGCTGCTTCGTTCCATGGCAGCATCAGTTGGCTGAATGTGTGCGCTCAATTACAGACAAGGTGTAGGCAATAGTGATAGATTTGAATATAGCAAAAGATGAGAATTACAAGGAAACCAAGGCAAAGTAAATGCCAGTTGACTAAGTAGTCAAGGCTGGCAAAAGCTGTCTTATAAAATCTGGCCTTTCTGTATGAAATATTTGAAAAAATGTAGAAATTGTAATTACTATCTGAGTTTAAAATGATGTGCAAGTAGTAGACTTACATTACGTTACAGGCAAGAAGTTGCTGTTGCTCAGTATAAATGAGACTGGGGGTGGTGGTGGCAATGCCTAGGTATATATCAAAAAATGCAGCTGGACAGACAGACTATTTAATATCTGTCTGTCTATGTATATCTTTTCTTCGTTTCAATGGAAAGCTGAAGTAAAAAGTTCCCATACTTTATACTTCCATATAAACTTACAGTATTACCCTGTCAAACCCTACAGTGCCTCGGGACTAGGATTGCTTCCTGACCAACAGAGACAACTTCTACTCCATCAACAGCACCAGCAATTTCAGCAGTTACTAAGTACCCAGCAACTCACATCAGTAAGTTTTCCAGTTAATTATGATTTATTCTTCCATTGTACTCTAAGACATGGATAAACTCCTCAGCCCAATGTAAATACTAGAAATGTGTTTAACTTCATATTACAAGGTTCAGTAATCTTTTAGTTTTTCAGTTGCTCCAACCTTTTTGGATGATAGTCAATGCTAAATTACAGGATAGTTTTGCACTGTGTGTATTGTTAGAAGAATCACTCCCTAGTGCCTTCAGTCCCATTTCGTCCCATGTGGACATGGTGGCTTGTCTTTCTCAGCATCAGCTGTGGGCCGCAGAGTTTGGGACCATACATGGATTCTAGCGAATATCCTAAGCTATTCTCTGACTCCACTAGGACTCCAGCAAATGATTTTTGGGTATCATCTCGTGAGCTGTCTTTGCTGTGCCTTGCAGTATTCATACAGGCCATTAGGTAACTGGTCTAGCTATCTGTATGTTAATTGTGTAGTTCTGGTACTTTGACAAACATGGTTCGATATTCTCAGCTGTGTCTCTTCTGACAGAGGCCTGACAAAGCCAGCAGCCGTAGCTGAACTTCTGCCAAGCTGCTGATTTCAGGAAATTTTATAGGCACTTTCTTCCCTTTCCCACAGTCTCGTGGAACTTCGTTAGTGTAACCGAAATGGGCTGGGATTAGGTTAAGGGTTGCACTGACTGAAGATTTGGATAAGCAGGAACCCAGGGAGGAGCTATTTTTCAGTAACTAATTCTTGATTTTATTCTTTTTTTTTCTCCTCCCTCTCATATTACTCAAGGAACAGCATCAGGCCCTTTTGTATCAATTAGTGCAGCAACAACATCACCACCACCAACACCATCAGTCTGAAGTGCAGCAACTGCAGATTACTGGAGGAGCACAGATACCCATAAACAACTTACTGTCAGGCACACAGGCCTCACCGCTTAATGCAGCTACTACCAACCCATTCCTTACAATTCATGGAGATAACGCGGCTCAGAAGGTGACAGTAAGTATATTTCTCACCTCATTTTCAATGTAGGACCTATGTGAGGTAACTAAAAGATAAGAAGCAAGTTGTGTGCCCATATTCACAACTCAAGGATTTTTTAATTTTGTTTTTCTTGAGCCTTGGGCTGCACTTAATGAGGTTAGGAACTCTGTGAACTTGTAGTCACTTCACCTAACCTGTCTGCTGCACACTCCTGCTTCCCTGGATCAGGGCACCAATCCAGTGACCCTTCCCTTCCTCTTGGAATTACAACCGCAGCCCCAGTCCTCCTCATCCCACCTTCTTCTCCAACTTTGTGTCCACTGTTTTGTAGTGGATCATTCATTTTATCACCTTACTTAAAGAGTTTGACCTGGCCAGGCCTTGAGCACGGTGGAGCTGCAGACATTAGTTGGTGACTTGAGAGATGAGGAACCAGTTGCTGGGAAGGTAAAATATGTATTAGGAGAACGGGCTGTGCCTTTCTTGGTTCTGGCATGGGGAGGTGAGACTGTACGCTGGGAGGCTGAGCGACTCCTTTGCTTGATAGAGTAATAAAGCCTTTTGAAGACAGATAAGGACACAAGACACATTTTTCTGGCAAAGATGTTCCATTGTCTTCAGCATTTGCCCTTAACTGCCATCCCCAAGACAGGAATTCTTTATTCAAGGAGACAGAGAATAGACTTCATTCTCTCAGGATCACACAATTAAGAGAGGATGAAGGAGAGCAGGAAGGCAAAGTTCCAGTATTCCTTGAAGAAAACATGGAGTGGCAGTGGTAGTGAAAAAAGGGAAGCTTGTCTGCAACAGCGGGCGGGAAGAGCTTAGGGCAAGACATCGGTCCCCTCTCCGCTCCCCACCCCCAAAGCCTCCAGGGCACAGTGGTGGAGGGGGACTCAAGCAGGCAGACTTTTGTGGTACTGCCCAAACATAAGGTGAGACAAAAACCACAAATGATGAATTTTCAAGACAGTTTTCCTGGTAATAGCTCCCTTCCATTCAGAAATATGAGCATTTACTTTTATTAAGCTTTGTGCGTGGTCGTTGTCACTTTCCAGTTTGGTCCGTGGTTGTGATGTTGCAACTGTGCTGCAAAGTGCAGGACTGCGGTAAGATCTCGTGCTTTCCCGGTCACTGCCGGGGCAGAAGCGCCCCATTCACAGGGCTGGGCCTTGCCTTCATTTAGGAATGTTCACAATTTGTTCTAGTGTGTTTAAAATGTATCTCCCCTCTTTTTCTAAATATTAGTAGTGAATGGAATTGAGACCTTATCTTTGGTTTACATCAGAACAAGCTATTCTATATGTGACCTTATTTTGAATGTTTTGAAATGGCTATTACTAGGTTTGGACAGCGTGACCAGGCAGCACTACTAGTATATTTTACAAATATGCTGTTACAATTCTGGGTTTTGTTCTTATCACAGTTAGCTGTAAACAATTCTAGGAAATTTCAGAACATCTTTTGAACAAACCCTTAGAAATAAATTTATTTTGAAATGGATTTTATTTATTTTTTAAAGGTTAGAATTGAGACAGATTGCACTGGATTGTTGAGCTATTTTAATCCAGAAAGAACTTTTAACAAATTCTCTATTTGCCCAAAGCTTGAATGTTTTAATCTGATTTCCAGTTGGAACTGGTTTTCAAGCATTTCTGAATGGTTAGTGAATGAGATGAGGTTTTTGCTCAGTCCTGCTCGATCCTTGCAGGAAATGTCTTTGTAGCAATTTATGGAAGAAGGATAATCATGACAGGGCAAAATGGAAATTGTATTTCTATTCTGTTGTAGAAGTGCAGATTTCAGCTCTCTCCAGTGGGTAGAGCGTAGCAGGGGTCGCTTGTCTTGACCATCACGTGGTTTTAAGGAGGGACCAGCAGCCAGGAACAGCAGCTCTCCTTGGAATGAAGCGTAGAAGCAAAATTGGTGTTTTGCGATGCTGGCTGGGCTGACCTTAGTGAGTTGTTTGGATGTAGGACTACTCCTTTAATGATTCTTTCCTTTCCCACTTTTTATTCTACAATGCACAATTATTCTTTAGAATGCAAAAGTTACTAGTTAATAGCTCTAGTAAACGTGCCTTATCTGCTTTGTCATTTTTATGAAGTTAATTTTACTTCACTCTGTATTTTATAATCTGATTTTTAGAAGTATTTTCTCTTACACAGAGGCTCAACGATAAAACTGGACCAGTTGCGTCAGAGAAGAGTTGACATTTGAGTGATACTTGACAACTGCACGTTCTGCTGTTATAGCACTTCATCTGGCTGCAAACTGCAGTTTTCCTTTCTGCAGATCGAAGAAATGCAACAAGGAACTCTTACTGCACAGTGAAAGGTTGATAGTTTTCATAAGGATATTTTTGGTAGGCTTTCATTTGCTTTCTTGTTGCACTAAAACGGATGTACTTTTTAATGTTTCAGACTGTGAAGTAGATAAAACTCTGCAAACCATGATTATTTTGTCAGTATGATGGTACTAAGTACAAATTCAACCATAGAAAGACATACACTTGACTCTTCAGTCCTAATCTCCTAGACGTAAAGGCTTGTGCACTGTCTGCAGTCACGTATGACTTTGGTTTCGGAGCGGTGGTTTTAAAAAATAAACCAGCCCCAACTTGAGCTGGTCTGATCTGCTGCCGCAGTTGCAATATCTCCTTTGAGAGTAAGCCTGTAACGGCAGCTGGGACTTGCTGTTTGTTGTTCCTTTTTTACACACTTATTGTAAGGGAATCCACTTCTGAACTTTTTATTCCTTTCAATTCCTGTTGTTATGTAGTGGGAGTTTTTCCTGAGTAGGAATTACAGTATGGAATCCAAAGTTTATTAATTTTGGTGTAGGTTTTAGAGTTCTGAGGTTTTTTAAGGGAACCAGTTTGGTTCTGGTGACAAAGTTTTCTTACCAGATGAGGCGGCCACACTGGAAGAGGTGTGTGTGGTGTTTGGCCGAACCCAAGTGCCTGTTGCTACCTCCGTTCTGTCGAAATGGCTGCAAACAGCTGATCATGCACTAGATGTGTCCTCGTTAGCAGCGGGAATATTCTTTGTTGCACCAGCAGCCTTGTTGTTCTGCCTTTACTAGAGGTGTTTGTTTATACCACTGCAGATAGCTCAGGCAGATTGTTACCTGGGTCGCTTTTCACTAATAAATTACCAAAAAAGTGAGTTAATATTTCCCACTCAAACCTACTGGTGGTTGAAACGGGTGAACTTGTGTTACGACGCTTCCGACAGTAGCTGATTTCATGGCGCGAGTCTATGCAGTACAGGGAAGGGTAGTTGAAAGGGGGGTAATGACCACTAACCAGGATGAAGGTGGGAATTATTAGAGGAAAAGACCCAGCTGTAATTAGACCTCCACTGTGTACTTATTTGGAAGAACATGTTAATTCTGCAATATGTTTCTTAGTTAAACATTGCACAGTTCTTACCTCATTTCTGTAAATAAAGTTTTGTGAATCTGTTTTGTATTGTGAAGAATTCATAAGAAAACATTGATATTTTGATTTGTAATATTTCTAATTAGTAGATTTAATTGAAAAAGTAAAAATAATTTATTTTTATATGTTCTGGGGAATTTTTTAAAAATGTCACAAATCACTTTTGTAGATACTTTACAAAAGCAAACCAGGGGTTTATTTTACTTACTCAGCCCACTGGTGGATATTCTGTAACAATTTGTACAAAAGGTAAGATGGAAATGTGCTGTTATTTTGACTAGATGTAAAATTCCAAGTGTATGAAAAGATATGTACAAAGCTTTTGTTAATAAACTTTAATAATGTTTATAGTTGTATACCGCTTGTGTGAGCGTGACTCTCGTAGAAGAATGGAATAGTTCTGCTAACACCATGTGACAGGAAGGGTTTTGGTTGCACGTGGCCACTAACATTTATTACAAGGAATTTTTTTAAATGTTTGTCAGGTAAATTTTCGCTTTCAGGAGACACTGATGCAGCTGTGATTGTTGCTGACTGGATGTAAATATCTGGTTGCAGCCCTGTGCCATAGTCTGATGTCAGAGTTGTTTTGCTTTCATCCTTCAAAGAGAAATTCCTGTGGCATTGCAGGAGGAGTGTGCTGCTGCTCTCATCGCCCCCGTTCATTTTGAAATAACTTGGTGAGAGTTCTGGTTCTCTATCCAGGCAGCGCCCATGGTGAGATGATCCAGGCCTTTAGTTGTTGGTGTAATTTTTGTAAAATCAGCTCAATGTTTTTTCCAGGAATTTTGCTTATTGTCCACAGAGAGGTTGGTAAACGCACACCTGAACTCCTGGTCTCTTATTTCCCAGACACTCACTTGAAGATAACACGTGAGGTTTGGCAGACAAGCAATGCCTTGTGGCTTCCTCACCGTGCTGGTCAGGTGCAGCCTGGGGCCAAGGCTGGCTTTTGGAACAAGCAGCAGGAAGATGGTGGTGCCATGGGCCTGTGCCATTTGTTATTGTTCTGTCTGCTCAGATCCTAAGGATTGAATATTTGTGGGGGAAACTGGAGTCCTGAAAGAGGACAGGCAAATGAGCAAGCACAGAACTAGCACCAGGGGAGTGCGAGCCATCGCCTCGCACAGCCAGGGGCACCAGTAACCCCCAGCATCCCACCCCCTGAACAGCTCCTCAGCAATGCCCTGCGTTGTAGGGGTAGCTGATGGACTTTTTACACTGTAAGGTGAAGAGGCTGAGAAAACTGGTTGAACAGAAAGCATTTCTACTGATTAACCCCATCATTGTCTAGACAAACCCTAGAACTGGGTACTGTCTTCCCAGCTCTGTTGGGCATTGACAGTTTGTCAGTGCTAAGGGAGAGGCTAGAGCACCTCTATGCTGGGCCACTGGCGATATCCCTCATACTGCTAGACCTAGGGCTGAGGGGGAGGAAAAGCCCAATATGGCCACTGCCACCGTGCTTTAGTCACGGACCTGGGCTGAATCCAAACACTTCACCTGGTAGACAGAAGTACCAAGTCATCTTGCTCCTGTCAGAGCTGTACCATAGTGACTGGTAACAGTGGTAAGTCCTGGTTTTCCTTGTGTGCTTCTTGTATTTGAGAGGGACTGCCTGAACTCTGGCACTGGGCACCAGGTAAGATGTAGAGAAGCATGAAAGGGCCAAAGTTGCGAGATTGTCAAATTTAGGACATTCTTAAAATCTCAACTTGTCAGAGACTGGTGCCAGAAGCCCAAGATCACAATGGATGTTTTACAGTATGCGAGTCACAATGATGGGCCAACAATCAACAGCAGGGAAAATAATGAAAAGGACAGTTCTGACATCTAACCAACAGTCCACTTCACTAGCCATTTACAGAAAGAGACCACATCAAAGCCAAGTTCACATGAGGGCCAGATGTAGTCAAAACCAACCTTGTTTCAATGATTTTGCAGATCCCGACATCAAAGGTGATGGTCTGTGGCTGATTTGGCACCAGTTCTGTAGAAGCCACTGCCACCCCTGTGGAATCCTCCCCTGCCAAGGCAGCCCAAGCCTGGGCCCTGGCAGCCAAGTCGCTGGTGACCCAGCTACCATCAGCACAGCCTGTGTATGCTGCGTCTCAGAAGAGTTTAACGTTAACAGGCTGTCCTGGTTTCAGCCCAGAGGGTTAGTTTTCTTCATAGTAGCTAGTATGGGGATACATTTTGGATTTGTGCTGGAAACAGTGTTGATAATAGAGATGTTTTTGTTATATTGACCTATTGCTGAGCAGTGCTTACACAGAGCCAAGGCCTTTTCTGCTTCTCGCGCTGCCCTGCCCCCCCAACCCCCCCCCCCCGCCCCCGGGGGGGCACAAGAAGTTGGGAGGAGACACAGACAGGACAGGTGACCCAAACTGACCAAAGGGATATTCCCTACCACATGACGTCATGCTCAGTTTATAAGGAGCTTGGAGTGGCCTTCAGAGCGATGGTGTTTGTCTTCCCGAGTCACCATTATGCGTGATGGAGCCCTGCTTTCCTGGAGATGGCTGAACACCTGCCTGCCCATGGGAAGTGGTGAATGAATTCCTTGCTTTGCTTGTGCGCGCGGCTTGTCCTTTACCTATTAAGCTGTCTTTATCTCAACCCACGAGTTTTCTCACTTTAACTTTTCCAATTCTCTCCCCCATCCTGATGGGGGGGTGGGGGGTGGGGAGTGAGTGAGCATCTTGTGCTAGAACCAAAGGTGGAAGAAGCTGCTTAAATCCCAAGCCTACAGTGACCCCAATTTTCATGGGCAGGAAGTTTTAGAAAATCAGTAGCTGTGGTGGTGGATACTAGCACCATGAGAAAAAAACAGGGCCTGGGTGTTCTTACTGAGACTGGCTGCCATTTACCACTTTTCTAGAGAGCATCACGCAGCTCACCTCAGTGATTGCAGACTAGAGCCCCTGCCAAAAGGGCCAGCAGTCTCATCGCTCAGAAAGCTCAGGAACCCCAGGAGAGGCCTGAGAGGAGCTGAAGATCTTGGATGCCCACCTGCATCCCCCTCCTGCCCATGGCCAAACACAAAAGCATGAAGACTGGATGTGGCCAGGACAAGGCTGTCACTACGTGGCTGCTCCCTCCCTGGCTGCAGGGATTAGAGCCACTGATGCTGGACAATGACTTGTGTTCCTTGGCCCAAGACCTCCACCACCAGACTATTCTGTGTGAAACACCCTCCCAGGGCCAACTGACCCACGAGTACATTGCAACACCCTTCCAGTTCTTGACACGGGGCCAGCTGGGCCTGCCACCAGCTCAGGGCACAGTTCCACTGTGGGAGAGGCCAGTGCATTTCTCTTACACAGCCAGCTCACCTCTGCTGTCAGGCAGCTTGATTTGTCAAGCAATAAGGACACAATCCATCAACTCCCTTCCATCCAGGCATGAGCAGCACCTGCGATTATTCACATTCATCACTTCAGGTACTCAGCCTGACACGTGACACAATGACATGTACAATCTTTGCCCATCCTTAAAGATCTTTCTTCAGATAAACTGTCAGGAGCAAGCAACACCTTGAGTTGCTTAATGTGAATGTTCTTGCAAACAAAAAAGAGAGAAAAAAGTTTCTTACCAGTAAGTGGTGCTCATCCTTCTTCCTTAGACTCCCCCCTCCAGAAAGCCTAGGGCAGCGAGAAGCTGAAGGCGTTGGGCAGGCAGGATGTAATTTTACCATATAAACTGTAGCAATAGGGGCAAGTCTTGAGCAGGTACTCCTCCTGCACATGTAAGCTTTTGAACATTTCCAATGATAAAGGTGCCAAAGTCCTTAATACATTTGCCACTGGATTCCCCCCCCCCCATAACTAATTAAACTATTTCTTGCTCCAAGTGAGCCCCTTATTATTCTTCATGTAACAGTTCTGCATTAATTGCATCAGGGAGACACAGAGATGACACAAGTGCAAAGGTCCCCTTTTACATACTTGAAGATTTCTCTCCTGCTCTCTCTTGTAGAGCAAAAGCCAACAATTCCTTCTGTCCTTCCCAGCAAACCAGGCTGTGTGGACTCTCGACCATTCTCTTCGCTCTCTTCTGGATGGTCCTACATCTTCCTTGAAGTGTGATATACAGGACAGGGCACACCCTTCCAGGTGAAATCTTGTAAACCCAGAGTGGAAAGGAACAACGGCTCCTTTATCCTCACAGGCTATGGTCTCCCTTTTTTTTTTTTTTTTTTTGAACCAGCAGAAATATTCCCATCACCAGTCTACTTTTTATATGAACGTTACATCGCCATTGCCTTGTGTTCTTCTACCCCAGTCCCACTGCTGCTCCGCCAAGTTAATTTTCACCAACTCACCTAACCATTTTACTACCTTTTCTTTGTAGCCATTTCCATTACCTTGCTTTACAGCCACTGTCTTTGAGTGTTCTGGAAGACTAATACCTTTTTAAGGTTACGATTTCCTGATAGCTCTTGAAAATCTCTCACTGAAGACTCTTCCTTCCTAGGTGTGTTAGTAGCACAGAATTACTACTGGATCAATTAGCACACACAGATCATAGTACAGCTGCTAAACATGTCTAGTTTCCACTGCAGCTACCTATGAAGTCCTCTGTGAAACAAAATTTAGATGCATTATTTTGTGTCTAGTAAAGTTTCCATAACATTATTTCTAATGATTATTTTTTTCTATTAAAAAAAATTAAAACATTTTGACTCTGTAAGGAACAGTTGCCTTCGATAAACATTTTTCCCTTAAAGTTTTATGAGAATGGGATGAAATTTTGTGAAATGCTGATCTGTCAGAAGCAACACAATCAGCAAACAGTTACTGGAGAAAACCAAGAATGTAAATGGCAGAAAGTTAAAGGAGGTTTTCAGCCACCAAGCTTACACTTTGTGTTCGGATACATGATCCTTTGATTTTTCATTTTAATTTTGAATTAAAGCTCAAAAACTTATTAGAATCCTGGTATTAAATCAGAATTTGAGTGGTAAAAAAATTCTTTAAAAAATGCGAGTCCTTAATGTTTTCTTGCAAAAGACCATGATCACTGCTCTGATTTACTGATGTAACTTACAGCCCATTAAGTAGCCTTTATTCCAGCATTTTACGCTTTGTATAACTTTTCCAAAATTATGACAAACAAAATAGCAAGTAATGAATAATAACCCTTATTACCTATTCTTCAAATATAAAATCAAACTATGCTGAATCCACGGTGTACACCCCCCACCCCCAATGTGACAACTCTTAGCCCAGTAACATCAGCTGTTAAGTCCTATTCTGTACTTAAAAACTATCTTAATTAGAGACCTTTAATGTTCTTACCCATTTCAACGTTACCAAATAACAGCACTACCACTTAGCTCTCTGTGTAGTAGTCTGCAGAGGTGGTAAAAAAGAAATTACACTGCACCTGCACGTAAACGTACGTGGCAGTTAATATTAGAAATACTACTTATTTCAAAATATTGCTAGAATGAGCAGCCATTTCATGTAGCAGCAGCTATGCTCATGAGCATATTGTCTTCTATTTATAGCTGCAAGGAAGAAAAGAATACCTTGAGTGCAGAGTTCCATTACTCTCGTCCTTGTTTAACAGTTTCAGATCTTTTCTCATTTTCAAAAAAAGTTTCAAAACTTTTAAAATTCTTTATATTCTGTATACTCATTAGCTGTAAACCTACCAGCTCTAGCATGCAATTACCAGCGTGGCTTTTCCTGAGGGTCCACTAATTGTTAAGACATTGTTATCACACATCTGCATAAGCAGTTCTCCAACACAAAAATACACCTTCATTCTTCAACACACAAAATAATTAGGTAGGATGGTATAAGATTTATTGAAATATTCTTTTACTAAGGCACATGACGTATAGAAATACTGAGGTACAAAAATGCAGTTTCCTGCATATGAGATTTAAAACCCCATTTTGACAAAGATAAACTAAATCTCTTCTGCTCAGAACATTCAGCTTTTAGCCATTTTTTTCTTTTGTACCAGTTCAACAAGCAACTTGTATCTTGCTATACACTCCTCCTAAAAGGAAAAAACAAAAGTCTTTAATTAGAGTTTGGTATTTTAGTATTCCTTTAACTCTATACTCTATGCATACCTCATTCTAGAAGAAGAGCTAGGTTCCGGGGGATGTGGCAGGGGGGGGTGGGGGTCTTTTTTTGAGGGTTTTTTTCTTTTTTCCTTTTAAGTAAGTTGCGCACTGAATTACAGAAGGAGAATCTATATCTAGTGCAGAGCGGATTAGAAAAATGAACTTTCAATTTACATTTCTTAATGGTAACTCCTCTCTTTAAGGAACACACAAACCCAAGTAAAGAGTTGCCCAGTATTGCTTGGCAACGACTGTAAAAGCAATTATTAAACAGTTGTATTGTAATATCTATTTCAGAAGAGTTACTCTGATACAAGCCTCAGTGCCGGTAGGTTACGCTGTTCAAGTCGAGCCATTATGGTCACTAACGTTGCACCTCCTGACACCAGACACTGCTGAACAGCCTCAGAGCCAGAGAAACACTCGAATTCCCCACCCACGTTTCCTGCTCCCTCACACTGGTTTTGGCACAAATAAAAATGAGCGTTTTCTGCAGCTACAATGACTGAAGCAAGCACACTAATCTATTGCAACTATTACGGAATCAAACACAGGCCAACTATATCAATGACCATGAATGCTATTTTAAAAAGATGATACTTACAAAAGAAACATTAGACAGATTATTGAGCATTTAACACTTGCAGATGGATTACTTATTTTGTTTGTTCATTGAGATGGGTTGAGAAAGGTAAAAGTGTAAGCAAGCGGCTCACCAACATTTGGTTACTAACTTTGAATCAAAATTTGTTTTAAAATCTAATTTGTCCTGCAATTGAAGATCTGAAAGGCAGAGGAGAGGTAGGTATTTTAAATGAAACAGGAGGTATTTCAACATTTTCTGTAATGAACTAAAACTGAATTAAATGAAAATATATTTTAAATAAAAACAAACATGGCAGTAATGCTCTTTAGGTTGATTATGTCTGGACTGATAAGCTAAGTAAAGCCCTCACCCTTTCTGCACGGACCCTCACTTCTGAAGTTAACCATAAATTGGTAGAAAATATGTTTCCTCTCAATTTATACTACAGTTCCAACAAAACTAAGCATACCTTGCTTTTTCCAGGAACGCACTTTGCTATTTTATCCCAGCGATCCGACGTCCCCTTTGGATACTGCTGCAAGGCCATTTCAAGAAGTTTCTGCTGATTTTGAGTCCACAGTTCTTCTGGGGCACGGCTTTTCTCTCTTTTTCTGCTCTCATCATCACTCTCTTCCTCTTGCTCAGTGTTATCAAAATCTTTCTGGCGTCTTCCTCTGCCCTTCTCTTCTGGGACCTCTTTCATTGCTGGTAGAGCCATGTCAGGTGCTTTGACAGTTTTTCGTTTGCGATGTCTAGTTTCACTTGCAATGGCCTCCCTTTGATCTATTTGGACATCCATCTGCTCTGGGATATGATCGCAGTTCCCCTCCTCCTCTTCCTCCTCCCTTTCTCGCTGGGTGATTATGTGGTCCGGCAAATTCACATTGACTTTGACGTTCTTGGAATTCTGGGCCAGCGTTTTAAGCTCGGAGAGCCTTATGATACCTGTTAGAATTACTGTTGTTACACTTCTAAAAAAAATTAAAAACCCCCACAAACAAGCAGGGAATTGCCTGCAAATAAGAATACCCAGAACAGTGCAGGGAGGAGGAAAAGCTCATCTGGATTAAGAGCTTAAGGAAAATGCTTATTGAGAAATCAAGGTATTTGTTACGAAGCACTAAACTTTGCCAATTATGAGCTTATCTGGTATATATAAAGTGTAAATATCAGTGATTGATACAAACAACAGAATAGCATGAACAAATGAACAAAACCCACAACAGACTGAGTAAGAAAGCCTGAGAAGATGTAGCTAAAGGAAAACATTCCCTCAGAACATACATCAGTTCTCCTCTTTGCTCAAAGGCAAGGTTGCAAGTGTCTCCCTGCAAAGCCTACCCCGGAGAGGTACAAAGCCAGTGCTGTTTGTGAGGAGCTAGTAGAACACACCTGGTGTATATGTAACAGATTCCTTCAGCTGTTTGGCTTTCATCGTAACCTGCATGAAAACAACAAGAAAAAGGACTATTAAAAATTACATTATTGGGGCTATTGAAGAATTCATTAGCAGCTTACTGCAAAATACCACCACTGAACATCTATTACATACAGCAAGGCTGATGTTCTTCTGCTGGCTTTGTTCGTATATGGATCCCAAACTGGCAGAAAGCTCCAGAACGATGAGCTTCCCCATCGCAAATTTCTAGACCTCACTATAGATAACAAAGACTTTATTTAAAATTAAGATCGTTTTAATTACTTAGCATCTGTGTTACAGCCAATGATCTAGAGTCCAAAATTCAAGGACCACATAAAAGCATTTTAAAATGTAGTACTCAAAGAAATATACACACTTTTTAATTACAGAAAATGTTTTATGAATACCAGATTTCAGTTTCAGTTTTTTTGAATACAAGGTCTTTGTGAAAAAGCTAGACATTGGAATCAAGTAGCCTGAGCCACCCAAATCAAATAAAAACTTCAAATGAAACCAGGCAATGCCCTGCATTGGAACCGATACAACCTGGGATGGGTAACCTGCGTTTCCTGCCATTTGAGCCTGGGACTTCAGGTGTTAGCACCTGTTTAGTGTAAGGCACTTGGCAGCGTGCTGCCCAGAGCAAAAATAAAAAACACATCACCTACAAAGTCAGAAATTGCTCCCCGTGGGATCCTATTTACCCGCAATATGAATCATTTAGACCTTCAGAGCCACAGCCTCTGCTGGTTTAACTGACTAATGCTAACAATAACGGACCGGTATCCTCTACATGGAGCAGCACTAAAGAGCAGACCTGCCAGACGGTCGTACAGCTGTAGAGTCAGGATTTTTTTTTCCATTACAGGATTCGTAAGTGAATACTTCAGTAGTTAAAATATTTTGGTATCATCTGCTTCTAGTTGCTTCCTCCCGCCTATGAAATTGGAGGCCTTTTCTTTAAAAACAGGCAAGTGTTGAATCTCCTTAACAAAATGACATCAAGACATAACAAGGCTGCGTTCTATTTTCCCTA